CCGCGCTGCCGCGGCGCTGCCGAGCGCGCCGAGCAGCTGATCGCGCGCAGGGAGGGAGAGGAGGGAAGGCAGCGAATCTGGGCGCAGCTCTCTGCTGCATCCCCATCCCACAATCCCTTGCCCGCTTTGCTGCAGTCTTTCCAAGGCGCTGAGTGGGAAAAAGATGTGCTAAATAAAGATTGATGGGCTGGAGCGCTCGAGGGGTCTCCCGCTTGTAAATGACCCGGGGGAAAAAAATATTCATGACGACTTCACCGGGCCTCCGCTTGTTCTTCCATTTTTCTTCCCACCTGTCCTCATCATGGAATGGAGCATCATTCCTTAGAGCACGAAAGCTGTTGTGCGTCCAGTGGTGACTGTGCTGTGATAGGGATCCATAAAGGGTTTTACGTGTGAGGCTCTTAAGCTTGAAATATTAACAGATGATGTTTTGTTCGCCCGGATTACTACGGAACTGCAGCTCCGTCCCTGCAAGGATTTTATCCTCAGCGCTGTATTGATTAAGCTACTTATCTACAAAGATGGGTAGGTCTAAAATGCTCAAGTTTGCTCAGTGTTGTTTGTTCCTGGTGGCTGCTGCTAGGTTGCTCCTTCTGTTTTGGCCCTCAGTATTCAATTTTAATTCTGCATGCCGTAAGGATGAAGAGGGGGGTAGTGCCTTTAGCAGCAAGGCACCGAGCTGCTTGGAGAGTGGGAGAGAAGGGAATGCAGAGACAGCTGATGGAGCCTTTTGTGCATGAGGGCTCGGCGCTCGCTGTGGTTATTTATTTACTCTGAGGGTGTTGTGTGCGGGCTGGTTTGGGGGCTGCTGCTGATAGCTCGGCTCGAATCCCTGCGCTGTTGGCAGAAGAGCGGGCGAGCCCTGTGCCTGGGCAGCTCTGCCCCGGCTCCCCGGGCTCTGCGGCAGCGCTGTCCACGTTCCCCTCCCCTTCTCGCGCTCCCGAGGCCCGGCGGCTCCCTCGCAGACGTTGCCGTTGGAAACCCATTCATTCATAATCCATGAATGGAGCCTGCGGCTCGCAGGTGCCGAGAGGAGCCACCCGCGCTGCGCGGGTGCGCGGCCGGCCTGCGCGGAGCTGCAGGAGCCCGCGCTCCCGGGAACAAATCCTGGGAATTGAGCAGGTGGTCGCACGCTTTCCCTGAGTCCGTGTCTTGGCCGATCCCTGGAATCTCATCTCATACAAAGCTGGATTCCTGTTGAAGAATTGCAGGGCTTATTTAACAAGAACTGTGGAAGGAGTTCCCTTTTGTGTTTAGTGACTCTGTTTATTTAAAGCATCTCTTTTGGAACCGTACGGTAGCATTTTTTCTCTTCCCTAAATCGATGGGAAGTTTGGCCCTTCTGGGTGGGGCCGGCCCCGCCATTCCCTCCGGAAGGCAGGCGGGCTCGGCAGAGCGAAGCCCTACGGCACCTCTTAGGGCCATTGTTTCCCCTTTCCTTGCTCTGTAGGATATGGCGAGTGAGAATCCATACACGGATTTCCAAGCAGAAGGGAAGCGAATGATGTAATTTTGAGGATTGCTGCAACGATGCCAGTGTTAGAACCTCAGATGGGTGACAATGGGTGACACTTTTTGGAGCCCTTTTCTGCGCTTGATTTGGAAACCTGAGCTAGGTTTTGAGTTAAATGGGTGGGGTTTTGTGTCTTGTTTGCTGCAGTGCTCCATAAATCCTTGGCTTTGCATGTTTAAATTAAGAAGTACAAGTATATAGAGATTTGTTTCTCAGACCTGACTTGCCTCCAGAGCTTTTGCCTTGGTGCCTTTTATCACACTGAGAGACAGAACAAAGCTCGCAAAAAAACCTCCAGCAGTTTCTGAGTTTAGAAGATGTTACTATATAAAAGAATGTTTTTATTGAAAAAATATTATTATTTTGCTAAATCTCCCACTGCCTGCACCTCAGAAACTTAAGCTGCTGTTTTGAGGAAAAGCTGCTACCACTGCAACAAATCAGAATTATTTCTATCTATACCAAATTGAAAAAGACGATCTAAAACTCGACCCTCCTCCTTAGCCTTTGCTGATGTGGTTGCTTGCACTGAGACAACAGGAAAAATCCTCCCTCCCATGGCCACATCCCACTCAGCAGAACTGCCTCGGAGGTGGGTCTGGCTCAGCGAGGCTGCAGAGTGCGGCCTTCAGGCCCGAGAACAACGTAATCGAGGGACTTTTTAAGTTGAACCACTTGCCTAAGGTGTTGTTATACTGTGCGGTGGCAAAAGCTTGAAGTGAACAGACCAAATCCTGCCCTCAGATGCATATTTTAAGCGTGATTCATATATGCATACGGGATAAATGACAGGCCTGGCCTACTAGGTTCCAGACAAAACACCAAATATTAAAAGCGCTTATTTCCAATCTCTTGGAAATGGGTATTTCCCTGACAAAGACAGCATGAACATTTGAAGATCAAGATGGCTGGGATGAGAGCTGCATATGAAACACCAGGAACCATCTGATTTTTACTATGAGATCAGGGGAATGTAAAAGACAGGAGTTTTTTCTTGTATAAATGCTGTTTGCTTGCTTGACTGTTCTTCATGGCAGAATGATGAAATGACAGAGAACCATCTATTTGATTACTAGAACTTTGTTTTCTTAGTGATGGGCAGCACTCACTGGAAAGATTTTTTTTTTTTTTTTTAATTTCCTCAGGAACAATTTCACTGTTTTTGATAGGCCATGCTTTGCCTACACCAAAAATTATACGGTTCATAACCCATAACCTGTCTGTGCCCAGTTTGGAAACTGCTTTTGACAAGAAGTCTTCCTGCTTCTGCTGCTTTTCTCCTCTTCTTTTTGATTAGACACTCACCCCCTCTTCTTCCTAGGAGAGTGGGAGGCAAGTAGAGCTGAACCAGTGGTGACATAAATTTTCTACTGAAACACATCACTGAAGATCTCCATGTTAAACTGCCTGTTCAATGGGTGTGTTAGTGCCTGCTTGGTAGTCTGCTCTACTCTGATTTGCAAAAGCTGGATATTTTGGTTCCACTTCTTGTAAAACCACTTCTAACTCAAGCTTTTAAAGAGCAACATAGCTTTGTAACTGATCTCCCAGGGTTTCTGTGTATGATTTATGGCATTTAAAAAGGTTAATGTAAGGTATGTAATATTAACAGGATATACAGTACTCTGGGGAAAAAAATGAAATAAATGAAACAAGCGATTAATTCTGAAACAACACATCCTTGGTTCAGGTGCAAGTATTTTTAACATGACTGTCACACAGGAAACAAAAATTTTGCCCAGCATGTAAATTTGGAGCACTCCCTTCCTGGGGGCTGGTTCATTCAGAAACTCTCTTTTTAGGAGTTCGCTAGAGTCCAAACCTACTAGATTTTTGCTGCCACCTGGACTGATAAGGAAAAAGTGTCAAGTGAAGCGTTTCCAAGCGCCCGGTGACACAGCCGTTTGCCAGGGGCTGGTGCAGTTCCAGTTCAAGCATTTTGCCAAGTGTGTTACAGACTAAAGAAATCCTGTGTTAGCACTGGCTGAACCTCCCATTGCAGGAATTTTTTTTTTTTTCCAGGGGATATCTTTAAAACGGGACCACCATCTAACTCTTGCAGACCAAAGGCAATATGTCTTTCCAGAACATCTGCTCAGAAAGAGCTGTTATGTATGGCAGTGTTGACTATTTCCCAGGCTCTCAAGAGCGATGTAACATTTTTAAAGTTTAATTCTCTGCAGTTTTGTTTTTGTAGAGAAATACAAATTCCTGCATCAGGATGAACGATGGCTGAGCTGGTTGTTGATATTGTTATTTCCTGGAGCTTATAAGGCCTTTTTTTTCTTCTTTTTTTCCCCTTTACCCCACTCCAGCAGTGTGCAGGGTAGAAGGCAACAGGACCCATATGTCAGTGGTCTAGGATGGCCAGTGAAGGCTCAAACATCCCAAGTCCTGTGGTCCGCCAGATTGACAAGCAGTTTCTGATCTGCAGCATATGCCTGGACCGTTACAAGAACCCCAAAGTGCTTCCCTGCCTGCACACTTTCTGTGAGAGGTAAGCCCCTTCCCCATGCTCACAGGTAATTGTTTGTGTCTTTTTGTGTGTTTTAACTAGCCAGAACTTTTGCCTTCCTCAGTGAATGGTGGCTTTTTTCTTTCTTGTAAAGGTCACATTCAGGCATGATGAAGTTTGGGAAGGCTGCAGAGGTGGGAGTATAGAAGAGGGCTCTTACTCCTAGTGGACTAAGAAGAGACAGCAGCAAAATATTTTGTATGCATTCTCCTTTATGCAAGAGTAAATGAAAAAATTAAATGCAGAGAAGCTAATTACTATTGTTACACCAGTGTGAAAGGTGGCAGCCATCAGAATTTGGACCTCAAATTAATAGCCTCAAGTTTATACTGATTAGTCTATAATTAGAAATGATAACAACCTTTCTTTGTTGATTTACTAAGGAAAGAATAATTTAATGTCCAAGGGTTAGATATTATGCATGCATTATTAATAGCCAGTGATTAAGTGTCCTCATTATTCTGCAGCTTCATTGACTGAAGTGAAAAAATTCTCTGAAAAGAGACGTGGAAAAAGAGCAGTCTATACTCAGCTGACTGAGCTGAACACAGCTAGCGATACTTCAGTGTTATATTATCCATCAAACTATGGAAAGAATACGCATTTGCAGAAAAGTTAGCTGAAGAATTATTCATTAGAGATCTTGATCTGATGATGGGGCGCAACTTTGGGGTTCTGAATGGCAGAAGAATTATAATAAATGGTTCTTCATGTGAATGCTTAGTTCAGGAGATTTTCAGCTCTCGGTTAGAACTGCCACATACATGTCCAGTTGTGTAGGGCACCAGAAGAAACATGGATCTCTGGCTGCATCAAGTGAAATGGTCCTTTGCAGAAGAACAGGAAATCCCAACTTCACTGAAGCCAGAGTAAAACTCGCACTGAAAACAGTGAAGTCAGGGTTTTCACCATCAAGTCTTGACTTCACTGATTTCAGTTCACGTGCCAGTTCTAAGGCCAGCTCCTGCTTTTCACTGTAATCCTCTGATGTTGATGTGGTTTTGGAGAGAGTTGGAAGAACCCCTCCGGCGCAGTGCTGATGTGCACTGCCTGCTTTCCCTCTGCAGGGCCCTTACTGGGGAGGCGGGAGGAGGAAGGCCAAGGGGGAGCATAGAGCAGTGCCAGCAGAGCCCTTGGGAGGGGATCAGAGGTGCCAGTGGCGTTTCCTGGTTGGTGCCTGTGATAAAATGGGACATGCTTCCTTGGACAGGGCAAAGAGAAGCAGAATAGGCTCTGTTGATTTGGGGTAACTGCCAAATAACGTTCCTGATGGAAATAAATGGAAAAACTTCCCTGGGTTTTGCTGGGACCACATTTTAGCTCTGAAGTGCTAAATCCACAGATACAAGTTAATAAAGAAGAGTCAGCCACCGACTGATCAGCTGAAGACAGACTCAAACACTTGATATGGGAATTTCATGTTTGTCAAACTTTATCTGATAGTTTGTCATTTTTAGTCTCATATGAGCAGGATGCAGTAGATGCTTCAAAGAAGGAAAGAATTCTCAGTAGAACAGATGCCTTAAAGAAAGGCACATAACTCTCCCAGTGATGTCAGCTTATTGATCTTTTTTTTTTCATGTGGCAGGGCAAGTAAGATTTAAAGGAAAGAAATCCCCGTGATCATTTTTACTCCTGAAGTATGGAATATGATTTATCTTTCCTTTCAAAAATAGGGATAGCACTATTTCAAATCCGTTTGTAAAAGAAGGGGTTTCTTTTTCCTCTTTGATGCTTTCACTCTCTCTCTTTCTCCACCTCTATCTCCCTTCCCCATAGGTGCTTACAGAATTACATTCCAGCCCATAGCTTAACCCTTTCTTGCCCCGTGTGCCGCCAGACCTCCATTCTGCCAGAGAAAGGGGTTTCTGCACTCCAGAACAACTTCTTTATCACCAACCTGATGGATGTGCTGCAGCGAACGCCCGACAACAGCATAGAAGAGTCCTCCATCTTGGAGACTGTCACTGCTGTTGCTGCAGGCAAGCCACTCTCCTGTCCCAACCATGATGGAAATGTAAGTGAGACAAGCGCCTGGGCTATGTGCAATATTCTGATTGCTCTGGCTTGCAACAGATATTTTGTTCTGAACATACAATGGGAATGGCAATCTCAGTGCTCCTTTGATTGTATGACAGCAAAGATAAATGATTTCTTAAAATCAGCAATACCAAAAACACTTATAGGAGCATCTTAAAACAGTCAGGATATTATTTCATCCTGCCAGTCACGTTGGATGATACTTCCTTTTAACACATGTGGTCAGGGTTCCTTTCCTGCAAGCACTGGGCCATGTGCCTTCGTCTCTGTGATGGGATCCTGTAGCTCTCCTTGTTGGCCTGACTATTACTCTAGTAACCTGTGGGCTCCTTTAGGCAGTCAAGCCTCATATAATTTAATTGACCTACCCATTGACCCAGTGAGATCTGAGATGGTTTCAAAAGTAGCATGTGAGTATGTTAAAATAGTAACAAATGAAAGAGCATCCTGGCTCAAGCTCAGCCCCTCAGTTGCATGCAGCTTTGGGTCACCACAGTCTAGGAACAGAGCAAGCTCTGTTTATCTGCAATGTTTTGTGTACATGGATATCAGGTACCAGTTCTTGGATACCCCAAAGTAAGCTTCTCATCTTTGCTTTTTTTTCCCTTACCTGCTTTTTTTTCCCTCACCTACTTTTTTGGCTAGCATCCTCCCATATGCACTCTTAATTGCCCTCAGTGTTTTCATTGGCAAGTACCCCCAGACTGAACAAGTGTCTAGTATTAGGACAGCTCTACTTTTGCTGCTTGCTTCAGCATTTTCAGCTCTTTAGCTGTAGCCAGGTTTGTGCAAGTGTGTCAGTAGACCATGTTGTGGAACTGAGGCACACTGTGTTGTAAATTGAATGTCAGGCTTGTATGCAAGCCAAGACATTTGTGCCAGTATTTTAAGACAACTTTCTGAGGACTATTTTATTTGAAGCTCAGTTTAAGTACTGGTTGTGTTGGAATAATTTAGGTGACAGGTATTGATTGAGGCCCCAGAAGAACAGTTCAGTTCCCTTTCCTTGCTGACCTGCGGGACTTAGATTGAGTTCTAGAACTGATTTACTGTATACTCTGATTAATGAGTAATTCGTAGACTTTTTTTTTTTTTAATGGATGCTATACCTATGTGTGTGGAGTGGTTACTGATTACTATAATCATTCCTAGGTTTTATTTGCACTTTACTTGACATACTTAAAATGAATCATAGCTCTTCTCTGATACAGCATTGGTGATTGGAGCTATGATGCAAAGTACATTTAAAAAAAAAAAAAAGAAAAGAAAAAATGAAGATGTTACATGATTTTTTTCCTGCCCTCGCCAGGGTGGGAGCTGGGATGAGCCACGGGCAGGACCACGGAGCCTCAGGGCAGGGTGCTGGGTGCCTTGGGCTGTCTGCCGGCGAGGGTGCCGTGCGGCGGGAGCGGGCGCGCAGTGCGGAGCGGTGTCACGGGGCGCGCGGGAAGCGGCACCAGCTGCCTCCGAAGGACAGGCCGTCGTCCTTGCAGTCTCACCAGTGGCAGAGGTTTAAACCTCCTTGATTAAAACCAGGTAGCATCTGATGCACAGTTGTTATTCCCTGGCTTGCCTATCTCGCTGTAACATACCCCTCCTCAGGCCCTGTAGATTAGATGCTTTTTCTTCCAGTTGGCCTCTTACTCCCACCGATTGCTTTCATGTGCGTGTCCTGTTTCTTCTGCAGCACATCCTCTATTGTGGCCTCTTTACTGAGTGCTCTTGGGATAAGTGAAACTTAGCTTGTAGTATCTTAGCACGAGAGACGGTTTCCTGTGCTGGAGCTACAACTGGATGCTTGAAAATATGTTCTTGTGAAATTAGGGTAATATGGCACATATGCCGTGGAACTTTTGAACCTGACAGGATATTCTTACATTATATTTACACACTAAATAGGGTTGGCTTTATTCTCAGGTGCCAAACACCTGCAGCTTGTGTTGGGTATAAGAATCTAGGTTTGAAAATGTTGGTCTACAGTCATTTAGAGCCAAGATGGTAAAAGCGATGGAACTGTAACTCTATACACCGTATTGTATATAATGGGTGGTGTAGCCGCTATGTAAGCGCTTATCCTGAAAAATCCACTTTGGAGTTTTATTTAAATTTCAAGTGAAAGCCTGCTTAGATCCCAGGACCCATTCTTTTACAAGTGCAGCACATTTTCTGCCTATAGAATGTAACAAGAGAGCGTACCCAATATTAAAATAAAAGCCTGTAACAAGAGAGCAAACCTGATATCCTGATAACTTGTTCTCAAAAGATAACAGAATAGCTTGGCAATTTGATAGGTATAAGATCTTGTCTGGAAAAACGTTTCCTAAACTTGTGCAGGTGCTGTTTGCTGCCTGTTTGCTTCTCTGGAAAAAATAAGAAAGCTTGATGTCCTGATGAAGTAAATTTATAATGTGCCATTTAAATCTTGGCTTTTCCCCTCATTTCTGTAATTCCAAGAATACCAATTACTTGTGTATCCCCTTAAACTGTAATCTAGATGTTTTTATACTTTGCAGTTTTCAGTATGTCATTTCGGCTAAATAAAAAATGCAAAATGTCTGACAAACTTTTGATGGGCACAAGCACTAGTAAACTGAGCTCCTTCCTAGCAAGGCATTTTCCTGCCTCGAGGAAAACCCGACACAGTCAGTGTCGAGAGCAGCGTGTCCCTAATGTAGCCATATCTGCCAGGAGCAGAAAGTCATGTGAGGGGCTTGGGTGGGTCACTGGCTATGTGTGAGCATCTTGTTTAACTCACGAGTCTTAAAAATCTTTTTAATGTTTAATGTTTACTGTACTGGTAAGGTAAGAACTGTAAGTTGGAAGGAGAAAAGCCTGTGTTTTATATTTAATGTGGTGTCTGGGAAGTGCCATCAGGTAACCCAAGCTAATGTTTTTCTGGAAGCCAAAACACACAAAGCCAAGGCACACGCTAGCCCTGAGCTAGAGGAACGGAGCATGTGTGCGAGATGGGGAGAAGACTGGCAAAGAATAATTGTTTTTTTTTTTTTTTTTTCCTCTGGACTGTTGTTTTAATTCTAACAAATAGAAAGCAGAGGATGGAAAATGTGATTATTCAAATGTGATTTTAGATAAGGGAGGCTTAGTATTGCTGAGAGCCTTTTCCTTGAGACTTGATCACTTAAGGGTTGGAATGAATGTGCCTTGGCTTTGTGAAATCTGTTTCATACATCTTTCATTAGGCAAATTAAAAAGTTTCTGTATATTCAGTTAAATTACTGTAGTGAAGATCTGCATAGGCCTATGACTAAATCCTGGTGCTGAAATATGCCTGTCTGCATTAAGGTAGAGTCAGTGGATGGGATTTTGAAAGCAGTGGGTATTAACCTACCCATTGCAGCTGATGGGCATGTTCCCACTGACTCCAGTGGCAGCACAGCTGAAGCCAGTGGGGTGCCATAACATATCCTGACCAAAAGCTTCCTTCCACTTGGAAAAGAAGGATGAGGCAAACCTGTTTAAGATACTCCATTTTGAGTGGGTTTTTCTGTTTTGTTTTAAACAAAAAGCTTTCTGGGAATGTCATGAAATGTGAAGCCAGTATTGGAGAGAAGATGCTAACTATAAGAACAAAACATATGAAAATTTGGCTGATTAGGAAATGCTTGACAAAATCTTGCAAAAACAACTTAGCTATATACTTCAAGCCCAAAATGTATTAATATTAACTTTTCTTTCTCCTTCAGTTATGGCATAATCCAAAGACTTTCATGGGAAATGAAAGCTGCTTCACTCAAAGCATTCTTGAATTTGACTGAGGCAGAAGAGACAGTTTCTATGCAAACATATACATTAGCTCTATCAGTTGCTTTCTGTTACCATTCTGGTTTGGGTGATTCTCTGGCGCTTGAATAAAGAGGAAGAAATCTAATTAGAATAAACCTCAATATGCCAATGAGATGTTTTCTGTCTGATATATGTTGCTGCAAATATAATGGTGTTTGTTAATGAGATATTGAGTGAGAAACTAAAGAGCTTTTTTAAAAATATCTTGAACCATAAGCATTAAATTATGAAAAGGCAGAAAGATGAACTTTTGACGTGATTTGAAAGAAATGAACCCTTATAATCCTATAGAAAGACTTAGACTTTCTTAACATATTTTTAATTTTTGGTTGGTTCTGACTGCAAATGCCTGCAGCCTTTGTAAAGAATTTAAATCCTAAACTCTATTTTACTGATTTTGCCCTGTGTACCATAACTTAGTGCCTACCAAAGTAACTGCCATAACTCAGAGGACCTACTACCATGAGATCCCTCAAATCCCAGTTACTGGTGTAGTACTGATAGTGGTTGCCATGGGGGTAAGTAATTCCTCTTGTCTAGATGGGCCACTTTTTTTTTTTTTTTCCTTTCTAATATATTCTATGTTACACAATTTGTTTTGGGCAGCCTTTTAATTTTCTCTGAAGTGGTTTGCACAACTAGCCAATAAATGACTAAAGCCACACTGCCTGGGAGCCCTATATTGTGAGAGTTGAGATAAGAGAGAAGCATGGGAATTAGAAGGAAAGAAGCTTATTGAAGAAAATCCCTAATACTGCTAATAGCCACATGCAAATCTGGGTTCTTATTTCCCCCTTCTAATTCTCAACATGTCTTGGAGCAGCCAACTGCTTTGCATGATGCCTTTACAGGTTTCTCTGCTCACCTGAAAATAGCCAGCTCTGCCCTACCCTAAAACTGTCTTGATGTCACCAGCATCTCCCATCCAGCCATCGTTGGGTGGGAGGTCCTAGTGCCAAAAGCAAGGGCCAAGTTACTGATGCTGTGTTCTGAGTGCAAGAGCGCTGCCAGTATCTTGCTTTGAAGTGCCTGACATGAGCTACCTTATACACTCCTTAAGAAGCCTAAAATGCTTTGTGCTCCACTACCTAGCTGTAAAATAAAAAAATCTCATGTATATATATAAAAAAAAAAAAAAAGTATCATGTTGAATTTGAAAATATGTGCATTATTTTGGCTAACATATGATCTTGAATACAGCACTTTTCTGTTTCTTACCCTTCAGGAATATATTCAGATTTGGGGGGTATTTATTTAATCTCCAGACAACGTTTTACTGGATACATAACTTGGAAACATCTCCTTCTCTTTCAATTGTAGATCAGCAGCACTCTTATAATCTCGCATATGAGGTTTTGATGGTTTAAGGGATTAGTAATGGGATATGGAGCTTTTTCCCTGCAGTGTGTTGGCTCATTTAGAGTGCTTTTCTGTGACAAATAAGTATAGCCTTCAGTTTTCCCCACCGATTTCATGTTGCAGAGGTGGCTCTGTTACAAAAACACTGAGCTGACTCTGTATTTGGTGTAGCCTCTCCAGGGAGATTAGGAACTGAGTTGGTGTGGGACTTCAATGCCTTGTTTTTCAATGGGGTTTTTACATGGAGTAGTTGAGGAGCACCAAAATTTGCTATTATTACACCACACCCAGATGAAGTTAGAGCAAGCCACTGATGTCCAGCACTCTACTTCCCAGCTTATTTCTCTGATGTTTCCTGATAAATGCTTTTAAAACAGGGTTTTGATACAAAATCTGTAAAATTAACAAATATCTTTTAAGCAGTAAATTTTAAAGTGTCTGCTTTCTTAGACACCAGTATTTATTTCATGTTGAACTGTAATTTCAGGGCTTGGATAATAACATCCTTGAGGCCCAGTAAGGTATGTTTCGAGTAGTGCTATTCCTGCCATGTGTGAAATTAGAGTTGTGCATGTTTCCAGGTGATGGAGTTTTACTGCCAGTCTTGTGAGACAGCCATGTGCCGGGAATGTACGGAGGGAGAACATGCAGAGCATCCCACAGTCCCGCTCAAGGATGTGGTGGAGCAACACAAGGCTTCTCTCCAAGTCCAGTTGGATGCTGTCAACAAAAGGTATGGAAATTCCACTAATTATTTTTACATTTTTAATTTTCCCGTTGGCTTCCTATGTTACCTTGGGTAGACATCTACATGAGTAGATGTTCTTGGGTAGATCTACAAAATAGGAATAGTGAAGATGACATAAGGATAAAATCCATAGAGTGCGATGCTTTTGAGGGAGTAGAGAAAAGAGTCGAAGATTCTTATCTGTCTTTTGCAAAACAGAGGCCAGATCTTTCGCAGGCAATAGAAACAAAAGAGACTTTCAAAGAAGGAACATGAAATGTTACGAAGAAAAATGCAAGCCATATGTGAATTTAATAATAAATAAATAATACTGTATGTTTAAAGTGCAAGCTTTATTCTGGCTGAAAGGATTAAAAAAAAATGCGGAGGGTTAGATCTAGTTCCCTCTTCCCTAGTGGATATGTCTCCAAAAAGGACAGAGGGTCCAAGGCCTCAACGTTTGAACTGCTTGGAGCCTAACGGTTTTCCAAAACCGAGGGCTCTGGCTTTAGCCTTATTTTTATCAGACCAAAACCACTATGTGGTTGTAAAATAAATGATTTTACTTCTGGGAAATGACTGAATTTAAAGAGAGCCTAGTGTTGAGATTGTTTCCTCAAAAGATGTCAAGGCAAGGGCCAATGTTTAATGACTTTTGAAACAGCAGTCTTTGTAATTTAATCCCTCCCTCAGGCTTCCAGAGATCGACTCAGCACTTCATTTTATATCTGAAATCATACATCAGTTAACCAACCAAAAGGCTAGCATTGTAGATGACATTCATTCCACTTTTGATGAACTCCAGAAGACTTTAAATGTGCGAAAGAGCGTGCTGCTTATGGAACTGGAAGTGAATTATGGCCTTAAACACAAAGTAAGATGCATGTTTTGTTTCAGTGAAAAGCTATTAATTTAATCAGCCAGTCTTTATAAATGATGCAGGGCGCCAGTTTGACAGGTCGTGTCTGAGATCCAGATCCGGGAGAACATTTCCTTCCCGAAATGAAGCCACTGCAGAGCCTTGCTTGTGGGTGCCCAGCCTCCAGAGCGAAGTCTAGGCCCCATGTGGGCCACTAGTTCTGTACTAGTCCGTGTGAAGGGGTCTGATGTAGCCAGTGCACTGAGCAGGCATCTGCTTAAAGCCAATGTGCTCGTTGTGCAGTTGCCAGTAACAGAACATCAGGGTAAGTTTAAATCCTTGGACTGAAATCCCATGAATCCTTCTATAAAGACACATCCAAACATTTTTTTTTCCCCCTAGGAACTAAGCCAGGCTTACTATCATGCTTTAAAGCATTATTTCCTTTCGGATTCCTTATAATGCATTTCATGTTAAAAGTCACTGATTGAAACACATGAATGTTGCAGGGACATCTTATTTTCCTAGGAGAATGCAGAGAGCAATAGATTCCAGAGCAGTGTTTGCTCTTTGACTTCTTAACTGGCTGAATGAATGTTTCATTTTTTCTCCTGTACTGTAGATGAGGCCTCATTGGAAGAAAAGGGAAATCGTCCCTGGTCAGCAAGTTTGTAGTCTGGTGACTAGGGCCTTGCCTAGGATCAATGGGCCTATATCAGGCAAATGAAAGACTTTTCTTTCTGGTCACTGTTTGATATTGAAGAAGAGTCTCTCCTTTCAAAGGATCCTTAAAAGAAAATAGCATCAACCTTGGAATTTCAAGAATGCCTGATAATACCGGTGTCTTTGGGCATTAACAGAGAATCCTGAGCAGCTTGAACTGCTCTAAATGATTTACGTGGAGGAATGGTGCATTCCTGAAGCCAGGGCAAACTTAATGATTAGGAACATACTACTGAACATGTGAAAGTCAAGAAATTCTAATATATGTAACATAAGTAACTTCAGATACCTAGGAGCTCCAACCCTGGAGGCAGAGTTTAGTCATCCCCTGCTAAGCAGCAGCTGAGCAGCTTTTTAGCATCGAAACTTTGAACTTGGTCTCAAATTCATCTAAATCTATCGAAATGCTGTCTCCGAAACATATTTTCATACAAGAAAACATACTCAGGGATGTGCAAATTTCCTGTAATATGAATTGTGATTTATATTATTTTTAAAGGGACATTTTTAGGCTATTTTAGGCTCTAGGAAATGTGTTTTATGAAGTTGTACATACACAAGTAGCGAAATAAGTATTTCTCTCTTCTTTGCAGGGAGAGACTTGAATTGTGTTTTATATTTGAATTAATAGTAGGCTCATGAAATAAATAAAATCCATCTTTCTGAACATACACTTTTAAAAACAGAAATAAAGGAATGGGCTACACTTCCCTAAAATAAAGCTGGCAATTCAGTTTTTGTTGTCCATTGGACTGACAGAGGCCTTGTGTAAGGCATTCTAGACAGGTTTTATATATTAGTTATGGTAAGAGTGAATATTTTCCATCTGTGTAATGCAAGAAAATTATATTGAGAAAATAATGCTTTTTAAGTGTAATTGCAAATTGTCTTCTTCCACAGTTTGTGGTTTGTTATCCCAAGCATATGGGTTTTTGTCATCCTGGGACTTTACTAGCTGTGGTATCACTTTAACTCCTTATATTCTGGATTAAGGCAAGACATAAAAATCTCTTCAATTCTGAGTCATTCCTAGATATGAACAAAACCAGGTAACTTGAAATTTCAATCTGGACATGAAATTTCTTGTTCATTCTGGCTTTTTTTGGCAAAATAACTTCATGTTGTTGTCACTTTCCCATATCAGTAGCTCATTGCCTGGATTTTCTGCAGTGGGTGTAGAAAAAGCAGCCTTTTTTTTTTTTTTTTAATTCAGAATTTAAAATGCCCTTAGAGTATGGTATCATTACATGGTATATGTCACCAATGGAAGGACAATGAGCTAACATGAATAGGTCATAGCAATAGATACACTAAGTCTGTAATTTTAGTTTAGAATTAATTGTAAGGTTTCTGAAGTATTTATTTTACAATGATGATTAACAAAACAACTTCTCTGCTGTGCAGTAATGCCAACATCCTAGTTCTTCTTTGTAGGAGAAACATAGCAAATACGTGACCTGGTTCTTTCATTTGGAGATCTTCTCAGCAGAGAGTGTGGAGGGTGGCTGAAACATTTGGGCTTTCCAAACTATTGTGAATTTCTCTATGTTGGTCTGTTATAATTTAGGGATCCTTTTCCAATTCATTATAAATCTAGTTTTTAAAAAATGTTAGCCTTGCTCCCAACCCGCACCTAACAATTTTGAGGTCAATACTGTCTTAAGAATTTTATACTGAGGGCTGGTGCTGAGCATATAATAAAAGCACTGATTTATACTTAAATATAGAGTGGCAACTTGCTGCCCACCAGAACTGCAGGCTACTCAGCCCAGCTCTTCCCATTATCCCTAACCCGTCCTCTATGTTTTGCTCTCCTGGCTGCTGAGTCTGGGGAATCAGCTTTCCTACTTCTGCTGAGGAGACTTTTCCTTTCTTCACTTACTTTGATCAAGAAGTTGTGATTTCCCTCAGTATGGAAGGAGAAAACTTGAGTGTTCTCTGGTCCATTTCTGTATAGCTTTCTCCCAAAGTTTCCCCTGGTTCTGAAGAAATGGGAATCCATCTAGACACCTCCCCTGTTAACGAGCCTGATCACTCCAAAAGATCTCTGTGCGCACATTTCCCATTTACTAGCTCGTTAACCATAACTGTTGAGAAGCAGATGGACCAGGGCTCAAATGTCTGGAGGAAAAAAGTCAAAAGTTAGATGGGGCAAAATTCAATCTGTGTGGCAATGGATCTTTGAAGCCCTAAAGATCCAAAATGGGGGATGCTTTTTGGGGTTGCATCCTGACACTCCAAAAACATTCACTTAGTCACCCTATTGGGTGTAGGGAGTCAGTGCAGTGTTCTGTAAAGACCTTCAGATGTAAAGTGCCACATCTTGCTAGAACAATGTTGGTAATGTGATGCTAATCTGGTATTTGGCAATGCATGCAGGTCCTGCAAACACAGCTGGATACCTTGCTTGAAGGACAAGAGAGCATTAAAAGTTGCAGCAACTTTACCGCCCAAGCCCTCAATCATGGCACTGAAACAGAGGTTCTGCTGGTGAAGAAGCAAATGAGTGACAAGCTCAACGACCTGGCCGAGCGGGACTTCCCACTGCAGCCCCGCGAAAACGATCAGCTGGACTTCATAGTGGAAACAGAAGGCCTGAAGAAGTCCATCCACAATTTGGGTACTATTTTAACCACCAACGCAGTTGCCTCTGAAACTGTTGCCACGGGGGAGGGCCTGAGGCAGACCGTGATTGGCCAGCCCATGTCCGTGACCATTACAACGAAGGACAAGGACGGGGAGCTGTGCAAGTCCGGGAACGCTTACCTCACTGCGGAGCTCAGCACGCCCGACGGCAGCGTGGCCGACGGGGAGATACTCGACAATAAGAACGGCACTTACGAGTTTTTGTATACTGTGCAGAAAGAAGGGGACTTCACTTTGTCGCTCAGACTTTATGATCAGCATATTAAGGGCAGCCCCTTTAAGCTGAAAGTGGTCAGATCAGCAGATGTGTCGCCAACCACAGAAGGGGTTAAGAGGCGTGTGAAGTCTCCTGGCAGTGGTCACGTGAAGCAGAAGGCTGTGAAGAGACCTGCTAGCATGTACAGCACTGGCAAGAGAAAAGAGAATCCCATTGAAGATGATCTGATCTTCAGAGTAGGTAGGTGACTGGTCTGCTATGTATTGACATGCTTAAAAATAGTTCAGAGAAACTGTGTAAAAAGTCCTAGAAATTAAATGATTTTAAGCTTAAAATTATATGTATCATGTCATGATAAATAGAACAATCTGAACAATCTTTAGGTCTCTTGGCTTTTGTTTACTTGTGCACTTTAGAAGTACACGCTCAGGAAATGCTGCTTGCAACAAACATTTAATTGGAATTTAGCTGGAATTGGAATTTGGGTTGAGAAATGGATGCAGTTGATTTAGATATTTTACCACTTCCCCTGCCCTCTTTTAAGCATCCTGAGCTGGCAGTATCATTAGACTATTGCTTCAGATTAAATTGCTGCTTTAAAAGTTCACATGGCAAGAGTGAGGGTGACAGAGCACTGAACAGGTTGCCAGGAGAGGTTGTGGAGTCTCCTTTTCTAGAGATCTTCAGAACCCACCTGGACGCAGTCCTGTGCCACGTGCTCTAGGTGACCCTGTGTGTGCAGGGCGGTTGGGCTAGATCATCTCTAAAGGTCCCTTGCAACCTTTACGATTCTGTGAAGAGGGGAATTTCTCTACAACCATTGCCCTAAAAATAATTTAAGTGACTAATCTAATCAGGGATTATACATGCTCAATCTGTTATCGTATATACTCACTTTGTGATGTCAACACAGGACAAAGTTAAGATTTCCTTCATTTGTGTTTTTCAATATATAAATATGCTTGGCTCTGTATTTAGAGTAGTTGTATCCCCAAATTCTGAGGCTTGGCAATTGACATATGATCTCCGTGTCATCTACCATGATTCTCTTTCAGCTCTTTTGATATAGTTTGTTTTCCTAGAAATAGAATTCATTATTGAAAAAGTCCATAGCATGGAGTGTTTATAAAATATCTGCTTATATAATTAGAAAATACTTTTCACTTGCTTGCTAAAGAAGAGGCTGGATGCATGGATTCAGCTAGAGGAAGTCTCTATAGGTCTGTGCTGAGGCAAGTTAACAGGGCAGTATAGGAAAGCTTGCACAGGTACAACCTGCCTGTGAAGAACATCAGAGCTCTGTTACCTGCTGTGACTGAAGCCTTCAGTGAATGCTAGGGCCTTGCTCTTGCTCACATATATCTGGCATTAATCTGTCCCTCTGTGGAAATCTAGGTGGATCTACAGATTCTTTTTTTTTTTCTTTTTGAAAACAGAATACTTATACATATTCGTTTCTCAGCTACTCATTTCACAGAATGATCCTACAGAGCGATGTCCATGTGGGCCTCTGTGAGACTGTGGTGCATCAGCTGAAAGGTCTCCCAAGCCTTTGCAGCTGTAATGCTCTAACTTCTTACACTCTTCCAAAGTATGTGTAATTAATCAGGACAGGTAAAATTACCATGATATTCACAGGGATTGCCTTCAGGGATTAAAAAATCTCTTTAGTTCCAGTTTGAACTTGCCTGTAAAAGTTGAGTTGTGGTTCACGTGTAGCTGAAGTCATGCAAAATAAAGTTTATCACCGTTTTCCAGCCCAACTGTGTATCTTTATTTGGAACCCACTGTTGAGTTCCTCTAAGAACGCTGGCCAAATTTGAGTTTGTAATTTAAACTGGGCAAGATAAAGGGAGTTCATGTTTGGGCTGCCAGAAGCTTGTACAGCTGTGTTGGAAAACTGTACTGTAACACTCCTATGGGTATCTGAGTAAATGGAGCATGCTATTGCTTATGTGCTGACGTATGGGCTTTTGTGCACAAGCAAATTGATCAGCTCCTGGCAAATTTGTGCTGGTATTAACATAGATGGCATTCATAGAGCACTAGTACAAATAAGTATTTTTGTTTGAGGGAAATTGTGCATTAAATCTTTTGCCAGTTCTGGGATATTCATGGCTTTTAAGTGACATATGGTTCTATTCAGACGTTTTGAGGTCACGGTATTGCCTGTACATTCAAACATTCATGTAATTATTATTTACAAGAACAGAGTATTTCTTGCTTCGTTCTCTTTTTTTTTCTCCTTTTAATAATTTATATTTCATCTGTGTGTGTGTGTGTTTTTAAGTAGGCATGATGTCTAGGAGAGTTTCCACACACGACAGAGCTGTTTTTATTTTCTTTGCTCCCCTAGTAAAGTATAAATCACTCATTACAAATACCCATCAATCCATTGTAACATGCATGTAGTCTGTTCAAAGGAAAACAGGGATGTGCATGTGATATCTAGAAAACAGCCATAGTTTCTGCTACCACTGCAGGTGTCGGGGAGCACTGAGGTGAGGGGGAGGCTCCTCTCCCTGCTCCTGCCTCTTGGGCCTCAGCGCTGTGTGGGCAGAGGTCACAGAGGCAGGGAGACGTTCGCAGCATCCACCCGCTTCCCCCTTCCCCGGTAAATCTACCCCACGTCCTTCGGATGAGGGGGAAGAGCTGTGGGTGGCCCTGGTTGTGTGTGTGCCCTGCCCAGCTGGCAGGGACTCCGACCCCATGTTGTGCCCTAGCTCTATCATGCTGCGCCTTCTGCGTGGACCTGTTGTTATCTCTTCCAGCACTTTTCATGGCTGGGTTCTCTGACAGCATTTAGCAATAGTGGGGCCATTTCCCACTTCAGCTGCTTTTCCTCTTCATTTATCTAAGCTCAGCCTTGGCATCAGACCCAGCCAGATGGAGAGCTGGCTTTTTGCTAGAAAGTTCAATTTTCCGTTTCCTCATATGCGTGTAGTTGTCTGTTCAGTTGTGTAACCGAGCAGCTTAAGTTTAGCTGGTGCACTTAATGTGTGTAATTCACTCTGAATTAAAGAAAAAAAAAAGTGCCTTTAACAGTACCTTCTGTCAGCCTCCTTACAATGCAGATGTCATCTCCTGGTTGCTTGTAACTGCTGAAAGCAAATAGGAGCCTTATTATGAATTTGTTCCACGTGAGAAGCCTGTGCACAAGGCCCACATAATAACAGTTCAACACACCTGTACGTAGCCACCTGCTGAAGAGACAGGGCCTTACGGAGGCGCGTGTTCCCGTGTCCAAGCAGGGCGAGCTTTGCTGAGGGTGCCCTAGGAGAGCTGCTGCCGCCGGGAGCGTGTCCGGCACCTTCCCTGGGCGTCTCTGTGCACCCAGCTGCGGGGGCAGACACTCGGCTGCCCGAGCAAGGCTTGGTGTTGGGCTGTGCAAGCTGCTAAGGACAGATGCTGCATAAAACAAATGAGTAAAAATCAGCACCAGCTGCACTGCAAACAGCGCGTGGGAGTGGCGGCCGGGGTTCCTGCTG